GATCACTGCAAAACGAAAAACGTTACATCAAGCGATTAGCACTGAATACTGTAGATACGCTGCGGTTAGCTGGTAATTCCTTCAGGAAACAAAATGAACGCCACCATTGGCAGCTGATTGTTCATCACCATTTTTTTTTGGTTAATTACGACAACCACTAAGCTGATAATTCTTTTCGAAGACCGAGCGAAACCAAAGTCGCCAGAAGTTTGGCCACCAAGATACGCAGGTTTGGCAAAAGCAATTCGAAAAATTGCCAGCTGCATCATTCAGTTTTGAAAATCAAAAACGAAACAAACTGTGATAAAGTGTAGGCAAAAAAACATGACTTTGGTCAGCGAATGTGAGGTTTGGAGTGAACGCGTTATTATTATCCAGGCCATAGATATCTATCATTTCTTCGCAAATTTTACCAATCACAAGCATGAATGGGGGGCAAAAACAATCGATTCGTGAGTGCCAGATTTTTTGATTACATGGAAATTTTTTAAGCAGATGCATAAATATTCATACATATGTATTTGTTCGTTTATTTATTCGTTTATTCATAAAGAATGAAATAAACAATCAGAAAACACAAATATAAGAAATCGAAACTATTTGTGTGAACTGTGCGATTTTGATTTCTTCTTATTCATATATTTAAGCTACTAGTTTTGTGTCTGCGTGTTTCTTTTACTTTACTTTTTCTCACTTCTGCCTGTTTATCAAAAATAAGTACCATGCGGCTGATCATAATTGATCAGTGATTGCGACAGGGCATCAGCAGAATGATCCCGCTGACGATAGTTTTGGGCGGCGCTAACACTATAACGAAGTCGTGGTACCGCTGCTGCTGCTGACTTGGATTGTTGCTTATGCGGCCCGGAACGACAATTTTCTGACCGTCGAGTTGAGGCACGACGACGTAACGGAAACTGCTCGAACCATGAGCTCAGACGTTGCATTAAACCCAATTCTGAAATGTAAAATTGAAGCAAAAGCAAAAAATGACGTGTACGAGAAGTGAGGATAAAATTTTCACGCGAATCCATGTGAGCTCCGGAAACGACCGCTGAGGATCCCGTTATTAAACAGAAACACGATTTATTAGAACCTTCAACTATAAATCGGCGACTTTACCAAAAAAAGGACTTCCCTCCAGTTTGGCCGGGTTGAATTTGGTTCCTCTGGCGGAATACGAAAAATTTTACGTTTTAGGCCTTCTTTTGGCCCGAAATTAAATTTTTTGAACCGGATGACCTATAGCTCACACAAAAACTGCGCTGTATACTATAGTATCACGAAGGCAGGAGATGATCGAGCATACATTTTCGAGAATTGTCTTCGAGATTTTCGACAGATCCAACAAGGATCCAATTTACTTTTAACTATTTGCATTACTCGGACTGATTTTCGAAAATGATTCACGTATAGTAGGGAAAGCAAACGTACGAAATAGAGAGAAAAGCAGTGTTGCTCAGTTAACAGCAATGACTCCAGTGCTGATAATCCAAGGAATCTTTGTGATTTGTTTTTCGATCTATTTTTTATCAAAAACACCAAGACCACCCAGACAATCACTGGGGTATCCCATGTTGGTGAGGTTACTGTGATGCGTCTAGTTATCGATTATGAATGAAAACTATGTTATTTACTCGTCAACTACATTGTTATGTGCCGGCCTTCGTGAATTCCAAACAACGTCATTCATCCCCAAGTCAACTGATTTACTTACTGCATTCATGGAATCAGAGGTTTGTTACTAGTTTTTGTGGGTAAATTTTTTCAGCTTTTTGTTATTTCAGTTTTCACGACGGTTTTTTTTTTCTGTCTCGTTCGTGAACTAATTTGCTTTAAGTAAGAAAAGTTTTTTAATACCTTGAGAAAAATTTTAAATTTTCTCATTAGAATTGCAAAACTTGTTTTTGCCTCCCACAGAGTTTAAAATTCGGGATCATTTTATTAAAAATTTGAAAAAACGAGGCAAAAAATTACTTGCTACTACAGGAGCTAGAGTATCAAAAGTGTTGTTTGCAAAT